GAGATTAACTGAAATATACTGCTGAGGGGAGCAGCGGCAGGTCAGGAGAGGTCTGTTGGGCCATGTGGGTTACCTCTCTGGCCTACCTCCCTGGCCAGGGCTCGAACTCATGTTTCAGTGGCTGCTGATAGCTTCATGGTGTTTTAACTTCTTGTGCCACCAGGGCCCTGTTTGTTTTTTTTTTTTTTTACAAGGGTAATGCTGGGTCTTACATCTCTGAAAGCCCCTAGGATAAGTGGGATGTGGTAGTACAGCATGTGGAAAAACACTTGTGGCAGATTTTTTTTTTGTGTTAATGACATTGTCAGGAAGCTGAAAGGAGCATGAGAAGGAAGAAAGAAGGAGGGAGAGATGAATGGGATAAGACATGTTTACCATGAGTTGAAGAGTGAGGCAGGGACCTTGAAGGACCTTTTACGAAGAAGATGGGTAAGTGGCTTGGAACAAAAACTACGAAGTTGTGCCATACACATCTGCTTAGCAAAGTGGAATTTATAGTTGAAATGGACTTTAAAGTTCTTATAACCATCCCATTTTACAAAAAAACAATAGAAAATGTACTTTAAGGGAACTTTCCCAAGATTAAGCAGTTTATGCCCGTGCTGAAGCTCGAATGTGATAGTGCTGTTTCCTTATTGGCAGTTGACTGCCTGGTAGTTAGGAGCATATCAAGCTTTAAGAAAAAAATTCTTAAACTAGTGGAGATGGCTGGATGGCAGTGTGCAAGGTAAAGGCAATGGATAATAGAAAACCACAAAATCCTGAGCTCCGTGATTTTATCCTGTGGTCAAACTGAATCACTAAATATAAGTTCCAATTTTGATTATGTTCAGTTATATAGGGCCCTCCTTGGTGGATCAGCAGGTTAGGGTGCAGCTGTGGTCATTCCAATGTGAGTTTGATCCCTGGCTCTGGAGCTGATCCACATGGTGTGGCAGACCACTCCTGTTTCTCGCCTACTGCTCCCCTCAGCAGAGTACTTTGTCGATCTGCTTGTTCTGTTCCCCAGCCTGTCTGGTGAATCCTCTCACCGCCCCTACACCTCTGGCCTATACCTGGCTTCTGTATTCATAAATAAATCTTTAAAAAAAAAAAAAGCCTCAGTTTGGGCCCTCCCTAGTGGCACAACGGGTTAAAGCACAGCACTGTGGAGCTATCTAAAGCTACTGTAGCGAGTTTGATCCCTGACCTGAGGGATGACCCACATGGCATGGCAGACCTCTCCTGTCTCCCCCTAGTCTTCTTATCAACATTGTATTTCAGTAGATCTGCCTGTTCTGCACCCCACTTTGTCTCTGCTGAACCCTCTCACGCTCCCCCCATCTCTGGTCTGTATCCCAGTTTTGTATGTATAAGTAAATCTTTTTTTAAAAAATGCTCAGTTATATAATAGTATTTTTGTGTGTATTAACATACTGAGTTCCATTTTAGATAGTGTGCCTTTCACTTTTTATTTCCTGTACATTCAGGCCCAACACTTTATTTTTAAATAATGAGTTGTAAGTTGATGTTCAAAAACATCAGTATTTGAATTCATTTCAGTAAACATCAGTGAGATTCAGCTTACTAAAATTAGAATCTTATTCATCTTTTTGCATTAACTTTTTACCTGGTTTAGTAGATTCATGGTCGTCTGCAAAGAATAGTTCATGTTCTTCGTAGCAATGTCTTCTCCATCAATTTAGTTTGATAATTATACTTGTAATACTAAAAATAACGAAATAGATACTCTGTGGTTTAAATCTTGTTCAGAGGATTATTTAAAAGAGAGTTTCTCTTGTACTAGTTATGGTTACTATACTAGTACTAGTATGTTTTCTGTTCACTCAAGTGAGGTGAATAAATACTTGAGAGTCCCTGTTACTACTTGGTGACTAATGATAATGGCAGACCCGTTGTTAATAGTAAGTAAATAACAGTCTCTAAGGAGATTATCACTTTCTGCTTTATAACTCTTCCTTATTTAGTATTTATTATTGTTATTTTTAAAAATTTATTTTTATTTTACTTTATGTGTACAACAGTGTAGATCAAAGATGCAGGGGGTGAGAGGTCCCACCAGAGACAGAGTACTGATCAGACAGGCAAATCTATTGAAATATACTGCTGAGAAGAGCAGGCAAGACTGGAGAGGTCTGCTGGGACATGTGGGGTTAGCATTGAACTCATGCCACAGTGACTGGTGATATCTTGATAGTCCTGAGACTTTAACCCCTGTAACACCAGGGAGACCTGAAATATATATTTATTTTTAATAGTTGGTACTTGCCTGTAATACAAAATCTGAAAAGGATGCAGTGAAATATTTTATTGCTTTCTCCAAGATATTCATACTGTTCTAGTTTATGTGTATGTTGCTTAGTAGATAACCTTTACATTTATGACTATATAGAGACTCTCACCTTTATCAGTGATAACATGGCATACTTTATTTATTTTTTAAAGATTTATTTATTTATGCATATAGGAACTGAGGTATAGACCAAAGGTCCAGGGGTAGGGGGTGGGTGTGAGAGGATCCATCAACAGAGTGGGGAGCAGAACAGGCAGAATGAAATACATTGCTAATGGGAGCAGCCAGCAGGCCAGGAGCGGTCTGCCACACCATGGGGGTCACTTCCCCAGTGCGGAATTGAATTCATGCTTCAGTGTCTGTGGATAGCTTCATAGTGCTGCACTTTAACCTGTTGTACCATCAGGGAGGACCTTACTTTATTATTCTCTATCTTATTTAACAATATATTTGACTTAGTCTGCAAATGTAAAAATGTTATTCTTTTTCACAATTTTCTTTTGTGTAAGTATTTACTCTATTTGTCTATGAATGTATGTTTAAATTATTTCTAATCTTTTTCTACAAATTTGGCTAGTTTTAAAGTTGTCACATTTGGAACTTATGGAAGGTGGGTGTGGAGGCAGAGAAAGACAAAGTATGAAACAGTTGAGTCAAGGAAAGATGATGAGCAGGAGAAAATCTAGAGAGAACTGGAAGGGCGAAGGATAGATAAAAAGTTAAGGGGAGTGGTGGCCCTCCCTGGTGGCACAGCAGGTTAAAGCACAGCACTGAGAATCTAAAACCGCTTCCGCATGAGTTCGATTCCCGCCTGCCCTGGAGGTGACCACATGGCGTGGCAGACCTCTCCTGACCCGCCCGCTGCTCCCCTCAGCAGTGTACTTCGTTGATCTGCCTGTTCTGTTCCCCACTCTGTCTCTGGTGAAGCCTCTCGCCGCCCCTGAGCTTCTGGCCTGTACCCCAGTTCTGTATGTACAAATAAATTAATCTTTAAAAAAAAAAAAAAGTTAAGGGGAGTAGAATGGAGTGAAATAACAGTGGACTTTCCAAAGCATGCACTGAAACAAGAGGCTCAACTTTATGTTACTGTCTGGACCTAGAATGAATCCATAGTTACTAGCTGTGGGATCTTGGGAAACTTGTTTTCTCTGTGCCGCTTAGCTCTTTGTCTATAAAATGGAATAATAGCATCACATCATGTGTCAATATAGAACTTTAGTATAGCATCCATTCCACACTGAGAAACCTTCCTGGTCTCTCTCTCCCCATTTTCAGTGTATACATATTCTTCCCTGAAGCTTCCTAGATTTAACTAAGAACTCCACTGTATACTGTATCTTTGTCTTGGCTTTTAACCCATTTCTTCGAAATCCCATATCTATTACTTGAGAGTAGGAAAACATTTATTTTTACCCTGTAACCACTACTAATAATATATCTAGAACCGTGTCTGGCTATCTGGTTAGTACTTGATAATGTTTGAATCAAACTAAAGAAGATCTTGAATGTTGAACTTAGAGAAAGTTAATCTTTGTCATTAAGTATTTTTGTGGGAAGGTACTTTGAGTCGAAGAGCCTGTTTCTAGTTAAACTTCACCAAATTTAGCATCTGTTCAGTGATATTCACTTGCCTACTACTCAAATGGTTGTTACCATTTTATTGTAGCAAAATGATGATACGCTTTTAAAGACCAACAGAAAGACAGAAGTTGACTTTATGTCAGTATTTGGCTAAAAACAATCTTTTATATATATTACTGTAAATCAGTCCTAAAAAAGCATGGCTTAAATTGTATGGAAAAGGATAATCAGGGCCTCCATGGTGAGGCAAGTTGTTAAATTAGATGTGAGGGAGGGGAGAGAGTATTCATCAGAGACAGAATAGGGAGCAGAACAAGAGGATTGAAAATCCGCAGCTGAGGGGAGCAGTGGCTGAGATGGGAGAGTCAACTGCACCCTGTGTGTTAGCTCGCTTGCCAGTTATCAGATTCTGCTGCACTGGCTGCTGATAGCTTGATAGTGCTGAGCCTTAATTCATGAGCCACCGGGGAGGCCCCAAAAGTAGTTAAAATTTTAAACCATAGTGTTGTGCTTTAACTTGTTTTGTCACCAGGGGAGGGCCCAGCTTTTGACACTGTTCAAAAAAAAAAAAAAGGGAATATATGAGAATGATAAGAAGACCTTTAAGTAACATGATAACTAAATATAATGTGTTATCCTGGATGGGATCCTAGAACAGATGAAAGACACTAGGTGAAAACTGAAAAAAAAAAAAAATCTGAGAAATACAGATTTTAATAATATAATTTATCAACATTGATTCATTAAACATCACAAATGTACCACACAAATGTTACAAATAGGAGAAATTGGGTGCCAAATTTATGGGAAGTCTAGATTGTCTTTGAGAAATATTGATCAGTTTTTTGCACAATGTCAATCAGATTTCTCTTTCTTTAGTGACTAGACAGGACTTAGCGACTTGAGGGGGGCGGAACACAGAAATAAAGTGCTATTTTGATCACATCATTTGTGCTACTTCAAAGGTGAGAAACTTAGCTTTTGGTTGTCTTTTCTTTCTCCTTTTTTTTTTTTTTTTTTTAAAGATTTATTTATTCATACAGAACTGGGATACAGGCCAGAGATGCGGAGGGTGCGAAGAATCACCAGGAACAGAGTGGGGAGCAGAACAGGCAGATCGACGAAGTACACTGCTGAGGGGAGCAGCAGGTGGGTCAGGAGAGGTCTGCCGGGCCATGTGGATCTCCTCCGGGGCAGGCAGGGATCGAACTCATGCAGAATTGGCTTAAGCTTCTTAGTGCTGTGCTTTAACCCGCTGCGCCACCAGGGAGGGCCCTCTTTTTCCTGTTTTTAAAAGATTTTATTTATTTGTGCATACAGAACTGGGGTACAGGCCAGAAGTGGAGGGATGGGGGTGGTGAGAGGATTCACTTTTCAGAGACAAAATGGGGAGCAGAACAGGCAGATGGACTGAAATACAGTGCTGAGGGGAGCAGCAGGCAGGTCAGGAGAGGTCTGCTATGCCATGTGGGTCATCCCTCTAGCCTGGAATTGAACTTGTGCTGCAGTGGCTGTGATAGCTTCATAGTGTTGTGCTTTAACTTGTTTTGTCACCAGGGGAGGGCCCAGCTTTTGATGTTCTTAACAGTGTCCTTCACAGCAGATTAAAAAAATTTTTTTAAAATAATATGATAGTTAATTTTTCATCATTTTGTGCCATTTCCATCTCAGTTGTAATCCCCATGGGCTTCCCATCACCAGATCACCCATATGCCATCACCACAGTCCAGTGCACTTCCCCCCACCCCCCAGCTCCCATTTTTGATCCCATTCCCCACTCTACCCCTGTAAAATGTTTTTGGTATATAGTTGTTGTTATTATTATAAACACCCCCCCAATTCCCCCCCGTCCTTTATATTCCTGCTATGAGTGAAAGCATCGGTATTTTTCTTTTTCTTTCTGGCTTATTTCATTAAGCATGATCCCTTCCAGCTCCATCCACGTTGCTGCAAAAGGCATGAGTTTATCTTTTTTGATTGCTGAGTAATATTCTAATATATACATGTACCACCTCTTTGTACTCCAGTCATCTACTTTTGGGCATTTGGGTTGATTCCATGTCTTTCCTATTGTAAATAAAGCAGCAATAAATGTGGGGTGCAGGTGTCATTTTGAATCAGTGTTTTTGTGTCTTTTGGATAGATAGTTAGGAGTCAGATTGCTGGTCATGTGGAAAGATTTGAATTTTAATAAAGTTCAGTTTACACTCCCTCTTCTCTTCTCCACGTATCATATTTTTGTTTTTACCTAAAAATTCACAACTACACCAAAATTTGCTACATTCCTAGAATTTTTATAGTTTTGCTTTTAACATCAGAAATAGTTTTGAGCTTCTTTTTTTAAAGATTTATTTATTTGTACATACAGAACTGGGGTACAGGCCAGAGGCTCAGGGGTGGTGAGAGGCTTCACCAGATACAGAGCGGGGAGCAGAACAGGCAGATCGACGAAGTACACTGCTGAGGGGAGCAGAGGGCGGGTCAGGAGAGGTCTGCCACGCCATGTGGTCACCTCCGGGGCAGGCGGGAATCGAACTCATGTGGAAGTGACTTTAGCTTCTCAGTGCAGTGCTTTCACCCGCTGTGCCACCAGGGAGGGCCGAGCTTCTTTTATCTAAGGATTTACAGTGTTAAAATAAGTAACATATTTTTGCTGTTCCCTTCTCCACCTTTTTAATTTCTTTTATGGCCTACAAAATTAAGTCATGACAAACCCTAGAAATATGTCTGTAAAATAGAGGCTACTAGGTTGGGGGATTGCGCAAATGGTAGAGAGGCACCTAGTTGTCTGTGGTAGAGGATTATGGTGGTGGCGCTTTGGTGGTAGTAGTTATGGTGTGGTAACATACATCTGAAGAGATGTGAACCTGTTTCCCTAGATCATAATGATGCTTTGAGATGCTGGATTTAGGTATTATTTGTATTTTTATAAATAAATTGTATATTATATATATGTATGTGTGTATATAATGTGTGTAGATACAATGTGTTGTAAAGCAGTGTTACCCAATTCAAAAAAAAGTTGCATGGGAAAAGAAATTTCATGGATGTAACATAGATCCTATTCATATGTTTCATAGTAAAAAAAAAGAAATATGAAATGAAATTTTAGAATTTGTTGAAGGGTGAATAATGTCAGAATTGAAATGCCATCCATTATATGGAAAAAATACTCTTTTCCTAGTCCTTTATCTCTTGAAGTACAAGATTTAGAATAAAATAATCCACACCAAAAGACAGCATATACTATAATGCTCAATGTGAGCTGACCTAGTAAGGGAAGGCATCCTGGAATCTAGACTTGAATAAGGTTTTTAAGGACTTGGCCATCAAACTCTCACTTAAGGATTGGGTCAAAATCTAGATTATTGGCAGTAAGGGAACTAATGGAAGAGACAAATGGAGGCAATCATGACTGATAAGGAAAAAAGAGAAAAGATGTGGGGGCTTGGGAAGAAGGTTGGATAAGTGACATGTGTTGTTGGAGTCAGGTAAAAGATCCAGTTCATATGAAAAAATTGAAAATACTAGTAGGTCAGATAAATACTGGAATTAGATGCCTTGAGATGCTGGACTTAAGTTTTATTTTTTAATTATTCTGACTGAATAGATAATGTACACCATAATTAAAAATTCAGAAAGCTAAACAAACCACTTTCGGTGAAAGCTTCCTACCTGTCCCCTTGCTGCCCAATTTTCATTCACTGAACAGCCAGTGATTGCAAATACATTTTTCCTGAATGCTTTATATAAGGAAATATGTATGTATTTATATTTCCTCCCATTTTGTTAAACAGAAACAACCTGCTGTAAACATTGTCTTACATGTTGCTACCTCTCCTCCCCCAATGTATGTTGGATATCTTTCCAGTTTTTTTTTTAATTGTGCTCTGTTTAGATTTTTAAAGTCTTTCTCTTTACAGCTGCAGACCATGCCATAATGTACCGAACATTTTCCTATTGATGGACATTTATAGTCTTTTGCCATTACAAACAGTCCTGTAATGAATAAAAAGGTTTAGATTTTACTTTGAAACATTTGGCTCAGATTCTTTACAACCTAAAATATGGATTATGACCAGTGAAAGGAACAATCAAGGCAAATTGATATATTTGCTACAGCAAATAACTCAAATTCATAATAGTTGTTAACACATCTATATGTGCATATATAATCTATGTATTCGAGGCACTTCCTCAAAGAACTGTAATTGGTGTGAAATGTGTGGACAATCGTAAAGGCTTAAAAGTTTATTGTAAAGAGTAATAAGACTTTTCCTCCCCTACCTAGGATTCCTACAATGTCTCAGCTTCTGGTGTTTTGGTGATGGTGTACTTCAACATCTAGCCACATGCAGCAGCAACATTGGCAAATTGATTTGTTTTCTAGGGAAATCCCTTAAACCTCCCATTTTCTTGCTTTTTCCTTAATGTAGGGTTATTTTTCATTCCAACTCAGCTTCATATGGGTCTCTTTTTAAGTCTTAATTGTTAGAGAGTAATTCTGAATAAACAGTCACCAAGTTCCCTGTCTTGAGAGGATAGATGTCAACTGAATTCTTAGGAATAATTTTTCTACTGAGCATATTTAGCTGTGTGGCTGAATGAATAGAACAGTGATTAGCATCTGTAATGCGTCTTTTCAAGACTGAAAAATCACCAAGGATTTTATAAACACATCACTAATTTGTTTATGGTTGTATGTTAACCTATTTTTCTTTTAGTCTATATAGAAACTTTTGCTTTGCTAACCTAATTAAGAAAATCCTGATTTTTTTTTTTAAAGATTTACTTTATGTATCCAAGAACTGTGGTTGAGGCCAGAGATGCAGGGTGTGAAAAGATTCACCAGAGACAGAGTGGGGAGCAGAACAGACAAATTGATTGAAATTCACCACTGAGGGCAGCAGTGGATGGGCTGCCTCCCTGGCTGAGGCTTGAATTCTTGCTGAGAGTTTCTTTGTACGAAGATTAAACCCCTTGTACCACCTGGAAGGTCTCTGGAAGTAAACTTTCTTTCTTTCTTTTTTTTTTTTTTAAGATTTATTTGTTCATACAGAACTGGGGTACAGGACAGAGGCTCAGGGGCGGCGAGAGGTTTCACCAGAGACAGAGTGGGGAGCAGAACAGGTAGATCTATGAAGTACACTGCTGAGGGGAGCAGCGGGCAGGCGAGGAGAGGTCTGCCACGCCATGTGGTCACCTCCGGGGCTGGCGGGAATCGAACTCATGGGGAAGTGGCTTTAGTTTCTCAGTGCTGTGCTTTAACCCACTGTGCCACCAGGGAGGGCCTGGAAGTAAACTTTCTAATCAGAATTTTTATACTTTGAATTTTTAAGAGACTGCTCATAGTATGCTTGTGAAGGAAATTACAGCAATTAAGAATTCTTAAGGAATTTATGTATGTGACATTCAGTAACCAGATTTTAGTTTAGTTTGTATTGATGTTCTTAACAGTTGGTGAGAATATAAACACAAACACTATTGTATCCAATTAGGTCATAGAAGACTTTTGTTTTTTTAAGTTATTTATGCATACAGAACTGAGATGGGGGGGCAGGTGAGAGGATTCACCAAAGACAGAGTAGGAAGCAGAACAGGCAGATGTACTGAAATACACTGCTGAGGGGAGCAGTGGGTGATACAGGAGAGGTCTGCCTTGCCATGTGTCACCTTTCTGGCCGGGATTGAACTTGTGCTGCCAGTAGTTTTGCAGTGCTGCACTTTAACAAACCATTGTACCATCAGGGAGAGCCCATAGAAGAGCTTCTGAATAGGTAACAAATAAATAATATTAAGAATGTAATAAAATATAAATTTACTTTAGTGACACAATAAATAACAGTTGCTCTCCCCTTCACAAGAAAAATCTGTTCTCTAAACTACAGCATTATTATGGTTCCATGAACCTGGTTCTAAGAGAGTATGCCAGATGCCAGTGTCTGTCTTTATATGATGTCCTGTTTAGAAGTCGTGCTCATGAAAAATAAGTTGTGATTTTTAACTACTAAAAGTATGTAATATGCTTTTGTAAAACATAATAGAATATAGGACATTACTTTAATTACTTAAATATTCACATGGCCTTTCCCCGATAAGAACACAAGTAATATGTCAGATTACTTCTGTTTCTACTTCCTGTAGAAAAT